CATGTAAAAATTCTTAAATAATTTTTTTCAAAAAATACTTATAAGATATTTGTCAGACTTTTTAACCTCTTTGGGATTGGATAATAAAAAGCTAAACTCAAAACCTCCATAGGGCATATATTTCAGGGCTCAAGAGAGAAAAAGACCTGCCAGTCTCTCAGTCAATGACCTTGGACATTTGTCTTCCAGCAATAGCATAAAACAAGAGGTAGATTGAGGTCTTTTGTTTTTTGTTTTTTCCTTTTGTATTCTATCTTAAAACAGTATGCAAGTCCTGCCCAACTCAGTGACTGGATCAGGAGATCACCCCTTTTCCCTGTTTGTTAAGAGAAAATAAAAAACATTGTGACAGAAACTATTGTTTGAAATTGCTACACTTCTTTTATCCACACTGTCCAACATACAATAAAAAATTATTAGATCTTCAAAGAACCCATAAAATGTAACTGAGAATCCAGAAAGTAAGCATGTTTAGAAGCAGAACCCAGGTGCTCCAAATAACTATGATTAGTATGTTAAAGAAAGTGAGGAGGACTGGAGGTGTGACTTAAAGCCCAGTACCACCACCAAAAAAAAAAAAGAAGGAAGGAAAAAAGATAATTTTTCAAATGAAGATGTCCAACAGAGAATCAAATCTGTAAAGAGGATAAAATCAACCATCTAGAGCAGAAAAAAAATCAATTTATAATACTGGGAACCCAGTAGATAAATGCGGAAGAAAATATTCGTGAACGTTGATGGAAAAATTCTAAACTTAAAGCACAGGTAGAACAGAGCAAAGCACAAAAGGGGTGTGTGTGTGTGTGTGTGTGTGTGTGTGTGTGTGTGTGTGTGACAGAGGGAGAGGGAGAGGAGGGAGGAAGAAGTGGAATGCAGTGAAAAAGTCTTAATATATTTCTGACTGGAGTCAAAGCCAGGTAACCTCTGAGCAGGAAAAGTACAAAAAAGGAACCCTACCTAGGTACATCTTACACTGTACAAATAAAAAACTGAGAGGACATCTTAAAAGCCATTAAAGAAGAGAATTACAGCTAATAGTATGTTAAGTGTATTATATTGAATATACTTCTCCTGAATTTGGGAGTTAGAAGAACATTCCCCTATCAATAGTATTCAGAAATACTCTGGAGGACCTAGCTCCCACAATAAGGAAAAAGAAGAAATAAAAACCTTAAAGATTAGAGAGGAAGGAAAAACTGTCATTATTTGTAGATGACATGATTATGTGTGTAGAAAATTTAACAGGATCTATAAACCATTAAAGTTAGTAAATGTGGATTTAGCTAAATTGCTGTATGTAAAGACAATATACAAGGAAATCTATTTTATTTCTATAATGCTATCAACTCGAAGCATTCATTATAAAATCCCCATTTATAATATCATCAAATACCAGATACCCTGGAACAACTCAAAACATGCAAACCCTCTATACTAAAACCATCACTGAGAGAAATTAAAGAAGACCTAAGCAAGGGGAAAAAATATGTCACGTACATGTATTCAGTGTTACTAAGATGTCTATTACTCATCCCAGTTAGAATTCAAGCATGGCATTTTTTGTAGGAAGAAATTTCTATAACAATACCAAAAGCCTAGAATAGCCTAAGATAACCATGAGAAAGAGCTAAATTGGAAGACTTTGTAATTAAGCTTCCAGAATAAAGACGGAGTATTGCTGCTAAGATAGACAAATAGATGAGTGGAACAAAATAGAGCTATTTTGTCCAATGTGGACATTGCCAGCCACATATGATTATTGAGCACATGAAATCTGGCTAGCCTGAATTGAAATATGCTTTAAGTGTAAAGTATACACTGTTATTTTGAAGAAATAATGTGAGAAAATGAATGAAAAATATTTCCCCAATTTTTATATTGATTGTGTGTTGAAATGATAATATTTTGGTTATATTGGCTTTAATAAAGTATGTTATTAAAATCAATTGCACCTGCTCTTTGCTACTTTTTAAATGTAATTACTAGAAAACTTTAAATTACATGTCATTTAGATTACGTGTCATTTAATGGCCTTGTAGCAACAAAGATTTCTTAAACAGGAAACAAATATTATCATAAGAGAAAATATTGATAAAGTGGATTATATAAAACCTTTGTGATGAAGACATAAAGATATCAAAAAGACAAACCATAAACTGGTAGGAAATGTTTGTAATCTATGTGTCTGATAAAGAACTCTTACCCAAAATATGTAAAGAACTGCAAATAAATAGAAAAGGACGATCTTTAAAGTAGGTAAACTTGAATAGGAGGTTGACAAAAGAGGATGGCCAATGGTTGATGATAATCATTTTCAAAAGGTAATTAGAATTCTCAGTTAGCAGGGAAATGTGAATTAAAGAGAGAATATTACATACTCACTCAAATAGCTAATTTGAAAAACTGACATCATCAAGTTACCTGGAACTTTCATACATTGCTAGTGGGTACTTATACTTACTCCATAATTTAGTATTCCACGCTGACGAATAGATCCAATTAAAATGAGCCGATTTGTCTACCAGAGGCATACAATTTATATGACCTTATGTATAATACAAAAATTGGAAGCAGCTCAAGTATTCATCAAGAGTAGAATGGATGAATAAATACTGGCATATTTATATGACTAAGTACTGCACAGTGTTAAAGAATGAATAGCATACTCTCTGATTTCCTTTGTGTGAAGTCTAATACTAGACAAAACTAATCTATGTTGGTAGAAGTTTCAGTGGTGGTTACCTCCAATTGAGTTCGTAAGGTTCCTCCAGATGTTGGAAAGATTATATAACTTGACTTGGTGGTAGTTGTATATGTGTGTATATATAAAAATCCATCAAGATATATACTTAAGATTGGTGCACACTAAATGTTATGCCGTACTTCCATAATTAAGAATTATATTAGCATATCTGATACTTCCTTGAAGAAGAAAAGTATGTGTATGGATATGTGTGTGTGTATATGTATATGTTCTGTAAGATTGTTGTGTAAACATTTAAAACATGCTCAGTAAGTAATGTGGAGTTGAAATTTAGGAAGGAAATGAAGTAAGAAACTAGGAAAGAAATGAGCTCATTAATCTAGTTTCTCTTAACCTTTCCTTTACTCACTGTCACTTGAAATAGTCAAACCTTTGTTGGCTGAAAGATCAGTGGTAATGTTCCTTACTGCTTTGACCCTCTCCTTTTACCATGCAGATGTCCGAGTGTATAGAGGAGAAGACTTTAATTACGTGACGTAGATCAAGAATAATAGTTGTCTCCGTCTGTGGTCTCAGAATTTGCTATTTTATTTTCTCACTATATTTCCTTCTATCTTTTCCTCAACAAAATCTATCAAATACCCAGTTTTGCCTGGCATTTTCTAGGGAAATAGCTACATCAATGAATCAAAGGATCCCTGTCCTCAGAAGGTTTACATTGTAAAGGGTCAAAACAATAAATAATTACACTGTCTCCTTCTTTCCTTACCTGTGCTAAAGGATCAGGCAGAACAAATACGTAAGCTGAGAAACAAGCTTAGTCCAAGTTCCCACCCCTTTTTGCTATGGAAAGGACTTTTGTCATTTTGGATTAACTTTGCCATGGCACATAGCACAATGCCATGTGTCTGGAGGAGTGTAGTCAATATTTGTAACCTTTGAGAGCATCTGTCTGTGCCTGCTTCTGATTTCCATAATTCTCCGCTACCATATGCCTGCATCTTTTTTTTCTTTAACTGACATTACTCTTCTGCAAAAAGCTTGATTTGAGATCTTAAGAAATACAATGTTTTCTGTAATGGCATGGCTTTGGAATAGTTGAGTCTTACAATGAGTATACTAAAGGTGACTATGTAGCCCAATATCTGACAAGGAACTTAGACTAGTGAATTTGGTGGTTAGGTTTGTTTTGATGTTCTTTTCATACACTGTTTTAAGTTTCATATTGTGATAGGTCTAGAAAGGTCACACTGCATGTAAAGCTACTAAAGTAAAACTGGTAAAAGTTCTAGAAAGAATGCTAAACATTAAGAGTGTTTTGGGTCTTAGTGCATCTTTTTTAAGGTTGTCATTTTTCATGTAATTTTTTTAATGATAAGTACTCTGTAGAAAATATATTTCATGGATATTAGAGCACTAGAAATTTTGATATATAGCTAGAGTAGGAAGAACAGAATTACTTTGTTTTCAATTGGGATTTGCATTCAAAGGATGATCAGTGAAACTGAAAGCCATTCCAAGTACAGAGGAATGCTTTTTCCTCTGTGTTGCTATTTCATAAAGGATGATTTCACCTTGTTTTTATATAGTGCTTACTATTTAGAAAACATTTTCACATATGTATGGTTTTATCCTCCCAGTAACCCAGTGAACTATGTATTTTTACTACTACTACTGTATGGAAACTTAAGAAATATCATTTGACTTGCCCAAAGTCCAGTCTGAGTCTAAGGCCTCTTGCTGTTGCAGCTTTCTGAGAAAAGTGTACAGCAAAATGTAGGAAGTTTTGTAGAGAAGGGAAGACCCAGGACCAATTTTAGTGATGCTAAATGCAAACCTGAAATTGAATCTGTAAAGCAGATGACTTCTCTGCCCAAGTGGTAGGATTGTGCCTAGAGATGAGAACCCACTTCTTTGAATTACAGCTTTGCAAAATGTTTGTGATCTTTTGAGGGAGGCTTCATTACTCAAAGGTAGTATTTTGAATGAAGTAGTAGCTATTGTAGTACAAGTTAAGCATACCTAATCTGAAAATTCCTAATCCAAATGCTCTGAAATCTGAAAAGTTTTGAATGCTAACATAGTACTCAAAAAGTTTTGGATTTCAGAATTTTGGATTAGGGATACTCTACTAGTAATCTGTGCAGTAAATCCTTCAAAATCTGAAAAGCTGAACTCTGAAACAGAAGATCCCTAGCATTTTGCATAACATACACCCAACCTGTACGTCTCATAGTTACTCTCTCAGACTTTGTAGTTCCAGTAATTTTCTTCCTTTTTTAACCTCTGTCTCCAGGAGCCTCCAGAAGATGATGCAAACATCATTGAGAAGATCCTGGCATCTAAGACCGTCCAGGAGGTTAGTGGCTCATATGTCTAGTTTTCATGTCACTAGCACTAATACTCTGTAAAGAGGTATTGGCTAGCAAACCTACTGTGATCATTTTGGGCCTGAGTGAGAGCTTATCAAGAATATTGCCTGGTTAGTTAATACTTACTTTTATCTCCATGGAGGATTTTAGGACATAAAGCACTTAAATATTTTGAATGGCTCAAATTGATAATTTTCTCCATCATGATCCTAGCAAAAGTTGTCTTTATCCCTTGGTTTTTATAGCCCATTAAAAGTCACCAGAGGCCAAGAAGAAGAGATGGAAAGAAAGTCCTAGTGGAAATATTGTGAAGTTTTTTTTTTCCCTTTAGACATCTCAGAACTATTGTTGGGATCTCCTAGAGAAAATTCTTTGAGTAAGAGAGTATGTTGGTGCTGGTGAGAGCATAGCTTTATCTTTGTTTCCAGTTTATTTATTTATTTTTTTTGTTTCCAGTTTAAAAATAAACTTCCTTACTGTTGTTTTAGGGCAAAGGATATAGGGGTAAAGGGAAGAGCCAGGAAGCGAATAATGAAGTCACTTCTTCACCAGGCTGTGGTCTTGATGTTTCTCAAAGCCTTAGGTCCTGTTGGGTTTTTCAGCTCAATGCTATCCCCAACCTGAGCTCTGGAAGGAAGATCTTTGCCTCCTTCCCATCCCCTCCACCTCACCCACTATTTAGCTATATACTCAGCCACTGGGAAACTTCATCAATAGCTTGTCAGGAAAAGACCTGGGAAAATGAAAATATTCCATTAAGTCTTTATTAAAATGGGGCAGAAGTGTTAATTTACCGGTTTTCTTTCGTCACACAAGTGTGATCTGCCTAGGATCTGGACTGATAACTGCTTATTGTTGGTTACAGGTTCACCCAGGAGAACCTCCATTCGACCTAGAGCTATTCTACGTTAAGTATAGAAATTTGTACGTCCATTTAATATGTTACATGTATTTGGTTTTTAGATGAATAAAACTTCCTTTCCCTTGACACTTTATTATCTTCTATACTTTCAGAAACTGGCCACTAAGGCATGACCCACAGATCATGGCTGACTCAAGTTTCACCTTAGTCAGTAATGCTCAACTTTGGCTGCACATAGAATCACCTGGTGGGCTTTTTAAATTACTGAAGCCTTGGCTCCACCCAGGACCAGCTGACTCAGAGTCAGAGTGGCCTCAAGGATTGATGTGTTTTAAAAACTCCCTGGGCAATTCTCATGTGTACCCAGGGTAGAAAACCACTGTCCTATAGTATATACTGTTTTTCCCTCTTGCATTTTTTTCCCCTCTCCACTGTCTACTTCCACTACTGTGTATTGGATAGCTTGCCCATTTCTGCCCCTCCCTCTGCTCTGAGCCAGTTTCTATGGAAGCTGCAGAGAGATGAATTGCTTGCAGTTACTCCATTTTGTATGGGTTCTTGTTGCCCTTAAGGGCAAGGCCTTTCTAAACACAGTCTCCAGCAGTTTCATATCAGACCGCTCTGCTGCTTCTATGTGAGCTGGTCACACCCTGTTTATCAAAACCTTAAAGCTCAGTCATTTGCTAGCTGTGTGCTTCTCTCACAATTTGTGTGTCTTTGGATAGTTCCTACTTACATTGTAAATGGGCCACAATGGAAGAGCTGGAAAAGGACCCTCGCATCGCACAGAAGATCAAGCGATTCAGGAATAAACAAGCTCAGATGAAGCACATTTTTACAGAGGTGAAGCAATATATACTTACTTATTTGACTGCTGCTTTTCTTGTGGCATTAACTACTGAGTTAAAGTTTATAAGTCCAAATTAAAGTCCCATATAGATCTTTAGCTCAAGTCAAATTGGTAAGTGTGTGCTTTTTGGCAACAAAACCAGTCTAGATTTAAAAAAAAAAAAATTTATCTACCAAGGTGTAAGGGTCAGACTTTATAATCTGACAGCCCATAAGAATTTACGTTTTGGTCAGAATACCAATAAATAGCTAGCATGGGCAATGTACACACTATTCTTTCATCCCTGGCCCCCACCATAAAATGGGAATTCCAAAAAGACTTAGAATTTAAACACAAAAACAAAACTAAAATTGCTAGAAATAATAAGAAACACTCCTATAACTCAAGAAAAATACAGACCCCCCAAATAGAAAAAAATAGACAAATTAATAGGAAATTCTGAAAGAAGGAAAAATTGGTCAGTAAACATTAAATGTAGCTAATTTCACTAGTAATCAAAGGAATGTGAATAAAATGAGAATTTTCTAGTTTCTCCTTATCAAATGTTTGAAGGTTTTAAAAGCATTTAAGGCTGTAGAAGGTATTATCCATTACTGGTGAGAGTGTAGGGAAGAAATACTGTGGTTCACACATATCAGAAGAGCATCCGATGTTCCCAAATCTACATATAGTTTGTCCCATAAATTCTGTATTTTAAGGAAATTATCCAGTCTTTGCACAGAGATTTAGCTATGATAAGAGTTTTTAATATTGGTGAAAAATTGAATACAAACACAGCATTGGATAATAGGCATTTGTTAGTTATTGAGTAACCTATAGAATTGAATATGGTGCATCTAGTAAGAAATAATGTTGGAGAAAAATTATTAGTGATGTGGAAATATGCTTAGTGTTACAAACTATTGTTAGTAGAAAACATCAGGCTCTAACAGTATGTGCAACAATTCCATTATGGGGTGCAGGAAAAAAGAAACACCATAATAATGCATGGAAAATGTCTTAAATACATAAAAATGTTGATATCATTTTCTCTGGTTGATGAAGTCATGGTAAAATTTATTTTCTTCTCTTTTAAATAAAGTGATTCTTAAAATGCAGTCACTAGTACTAGACCCTAAGAATGCACTTAAATGTCATCAAATACACTTACCCAACTCATTATTCACATTTTGTTCTTTTTCCTTTAGTGATAAAAATTACTTTAAGATAAACTCAGTAAACACTCTCCTTGTCCAATTTGTGATCCTTCCTATTTAATCTTATAGTTAGGTCTGGAGAAGTAGCTCAATGGTAGAGTGCTTGCATAACATGCTCAAGGCCCTGGGTTTGATTCCCCAGCACCCTTCCACCAAAGTAAAAAGTTTGGTCCATTCCTCTTCATGATTATTCTATGAGACCTGTTTTTTATGCTATGTCCTTCTAATAAAGAGTTGGGGAAAGGAAGGTAATGATTAGAATTGGAGGAACCAGTCTTGAAGACTGGAAAAACTGGATATTCTCCATAGTTCTTGGAACATTTTACTCACATCTCCATTTTAGCATTTGTTTACATGTTTGGCTCTTCCATTTTAAGCACTGCAAGGTGAACAGCCCATGTCTTCTTCTGTTTTTGTCACTGGTACTAGGAGTAGTGTGGGTGCTCAGTAGTTCTTTGGCTGTCCCCAAGCAAGAGAGAAGGGTTTGCTTTACACCATTGCCCTGACTTGGAGCCTTCAGCGTTTATTATTTTCTTGGAATAAAGTCCAAACCCCATTATAACCTACCTGGTTCTGTCTGTCTATGTATTACCGAGGGAGTGACTTTTCCTTGGTTGCAGACAGAGAAGAAAAACAGTGTGAGGGTATCTAGAAATAACAGTTCATACTCTGATGGGAAGGAAAGGCTTTTGAGAAGATTAGCGTACATAGTGAAATTAAGGATGAGTTATAGTGTGGAGTAGTTCCTGTAACCCTTTAATCTTGACCTAGTTGGCATTTTTATTAGTAACTTAAGTAATACTGTGGTGATATAAATAGTAAGTGACTTTTAGGTTGGTTATCTTCATGTCCACTATTACCACCTGCTTTGTGAGGTAGCCAAAGTACCTCATAAGTTACTTTTCAAGACCCAGCTTGTGAGGTTGCAAGTTCCCACATGCCATGGAGGTTGGGGCTTTCTTACCTGATATCCCAACTCCTAAAAACCCAGACTTTCTAGCCAAATTAGTGCTGTAACAGAAAATGACAAAGTCAAAGTCCAGATTTGCCTGGACTGGTTAGGATGGGTAAAATAGGGAAATAAAATACCAATGTAGGACATTATTTGTAAGAATCTTTATAATTTTGAAGAAGGGAAAATGGTTGGATAGCAGTTTTAAGGAAACAGATATTATCAGTTTAATTACCTACAAGTTCACTGCATGCCAAGACACACTAATCCTAGGCTGCATTATGAAAAAGGTCCTGCTGTGCCTGCTCTTTGCATTCCTCAGGGTGATATTCACTTGACTACCAGGACTCTATAATCTTGAAGGCAGCTTCAGGAAGACTGTAGTTGTGGTAAGGGGCAGAAACATAGCTAAGTAAGAGCAAAGATGGAAACTGGACTGCATGATCTTCAGAGCCTAGACTGTGGATTAAGCTGCTGAGGCTTCTTCCCAGCGTGTTCATGAGTGTGCACAAACACACACAGGCACACTGACACAGCCATAGCTGTGTGGCTTTGGGCCACTTACATAAGCTCCTGTAAACTCTGAATCCTCATGTGTGTAAAGTAGGACTGCTAATAGTATCAACCTTGCAGAATACCTACAATTAAGTGAACACAGTTCCGTTGTTTTCAGCTTTATTGAAGTATAATTGACAAATATATATATATTTAATATGTACAACTTGATATTTTGATGAACACATGAATTGTGAAATAATCACCATATTCAAGCTAATTAGCATATCCATCACCTCACAGGTACGATTTTCTCTTTTTCCTTAAGGTGAGAACACTTATAAGATTTACCTTGTTGGCAGATTTCAGGCATATAATACAGTATTTTTAACTGTCATCACTATGCTTTACATTGGATCTCCAGAACATTCATCTTATATAACTGAAATTTCATACTTTTGCCAACATCTCCTCATTTATCCTGCCCTTCTGCCCCTGGCAACCACCATTCTTCTCTCTGCTTCTATGAGCTTGCTTATTTTACATTCTACCCATAAGTGAGATCATACAGTATTTGTCTTTCTGTGTCTGGCTTATTTCACTTAGCATAATGCCCACCCTATTTGTCCATGTTATAGGATATGACAGGATTTACTTCTTTTTAAGACTAAGTAGTATTCCTTTGTGTGTGTGTGTGTTGTGTGTGTGTGTGAGAGTGAGACTTTCTTTATCCATAAGTCTGTGGGTGGACAGTCACATTGATTCTGTGCTTTGGTTGTTGTGGGTAATAAATGGCACAGTGTTTATAGAAGTGCTTACTGTGGTACCTGGTTCATAAATCACTGCAGGTATTCTATAAATATTGACTGTATTATTCAGAGTCTGGAAACACGGCATATGAAGAACACTTGAACAAACTAGTTTGTTTTGGTGCTGGGAGTGGAACCAAGGGTTTCATATGCTAGGCAAGCACTCTACTTCAGAGCTACATCCCTCACTCCCTACTGTTGTGTGTGTGTTTGTTTAACCCAGATATAGAGGGGATTGTTCAAGAGTCAGTAAACTCAGTAAACTGCTGCTGTAAAGCAAGCTGTTCACATCAATGCACGACAGTTACAGAAAGGTAGTTAGACTATAATTAATGATAATGACTATGATATTACTACTAAACAGGCATTGAATATGAGGGCAGGTTTACAAGGAATGCTGTAAAAAGTATTCATGCATCGACTAGTTAGGGAAACTGGATAGCCCCTAAACTACATTCCAGCCTAAGAGGAAGGAAGTAAGAATAATCCACCAGTCTAGGAAGAAGCCTGCCAGGTAAGAAAAACTGACCATTCAGTTCATGCAGCTCTGCAACTTAAATCACAGTACTTAACCTCTCTGAGTCAGTTTCCTCATCCATAAAGTAATTTTAACACATACCCCATAGGGTAATTTTGAGGCTTAAATGAAAGTGATCTGGATACGTTAAATATAAATAACCCTTTTTGGAATATAAGATACATAAGGATGAATAAACAATTTCTAAGTGTACATCTCAATGAGTTTATACCAAATAAACACACTTGTTTACTACCTAAATCAGAAGGCAGTACATTATCAGTACCCAAAAAACTCCCTTCATACCCCTTCCGATGTTAGCTATTATCTTTATTAAGAGGGAAAGGAAACAATTCCAAGTTGCCAAGGGAACAAGGAACAGTAAGAGAAAGGGAACCTTGAGCTGATTTTTGCACGTTGCTGTAATGACCAATAGGAAGGTCTTGCTTGGCCATGGCATAACTACTGGATGGTTGGATCTTTTAAATTTTGTCATTTTCTCAAGCAAACCCTTTCTTGTCTCTGATAGGGCCCAGAGTAGGGGCCACTTAAAAACAAAACCTTGGGTGTTAGATTTGAGGAAGGGAAGATCACTTCTTAACTGTTCTCCTCTGTTTGCATTAGCCTGATGAAGACTTGTTCAATCCAGACTATGTAGAAGTTGATCGTATCCTGGAGGTGGCTCACACCAAGGATGCAGAAACAGGGGAGGTAGGTGTGTTGCCATTAGCCTCTTCTAAAGCATTGTCCCTTCTTTCCACACACTTTGCTTGTTTTGTTAACATGTAGCCTTTGATTTCATGTGTTATAATAGGGTGGTTTTTAGAAGTTGGCAGAGTATGATTTATCTCCTTTAATTTAGTTGAAAGGATGCTAAATAAGTTTCTGTCTTGCTTCTCACCAGGAGGTGACACATTACCTGGTGAAGTGGTGCTCCCTGCCATATGAAGAAAGCACATGGGAGCTAGAGGAAGATGTGGATCCTGCAAAAGTTAAAGAATTTGAGTCTCTTCAAGTTCTCCCTGAAATTAAGCATGTGGTAATATATCTGTATCTCTGTCTGACACCTCTTGTAACATGTAACATGTAATTTATGAATTTGGCAATTCCTATGCCCATGTGACTGGGCTCCTAAGTGGTTTCTGTGGTATTTTACCATTGTCACTGCCCCCATTGGGCCTGCGGTGCTTGGGTTTTTCCTCCCCAAGTCAAACTTTGCCTACATAGTGTTCAGCTTTATGTCTGGGCTGTGTTTTGATAGGTGTGACATTTGAGAATCTTAGATGTGGGCTTAGATTTCTTGGTGTGTGGCTGTCATGTGCAGTCAGTAAACTGAAATGTGTGAGAAGTGCCTGGCATGTAGAAGCTCAATAGTGTCTTTCCTGTTTCCTATTTCTTATCTCTTGCTCCATCAGTAGTCTTTATTCTTTGTTTTTATCCTTTTCCACTTAGCTGGAGTATTCTTAAGGGGGAAGAATAGTCCTTTTATCTGTAGATCCCTGGAGCCCCAAAGAGAAAGCGTAGAGTTTTGAGATAGGCTTATTGAATCAGTTTATTTTTCTCATTCTGGATTATTTGTACATAAAGTATAAACAATTAAAAGGAGGAAAAATTGGGATCAGAGACATTGTTGAGTTGTAACTAACTTGGAAAGAGAATCAGTTTTTAAAGAATATGGCTGTAGGCTGGAATGGTCAGTTTTTGGTTTTTGGGTTTTTTTAATCATCATTTTCATGTGAAAATCTCTTATCCAGTTCCTTATTAGTATTTTTACTTTTACATCAGTATAAAGGTAGAACTCAGAATTCTAACTAGACCTCAACATTGAATGAAAATCTCTGTGAAGAGCAGTGTTTTGTTTTTGGCTTTTTGGCATATGGAAGGTATATGAAGGTACCTTAAGATGCAGACTTGTGATTATAATTTACATAGTTTATGGTGTTTTGTGTACAACATGATTGATTATATTCCTTTTGAACCCTTACGTATATCCTGATGTCTGTTTTTAATTTAGCTTGTCCATCATTCATTAAGCATCTGCCATAGGTTGATTACAAGGTACAAGGCCCTGCCCCCAGAAGTTCAGGCTAATTGTTATGTCTTATGTAACAAAGAAACAAACTAGTGTGGGAGCACAGAGAGAACTTCATTCCGAAGCTAGTTTATCATCTAGAAGTAATCAGAATTCTTGCCCATTCTCCAGCCAACTCCCACTTGGTTCCTCAACCTTACCATGTACATTTGACAGGAAAAGGAATTCTCAGATGTTTTCAGCTGATTTCACATTTCCTTTACTTTGCAGTTGCCAGGTTGCAGTCATCTCCATCTCTATTTATCTCATTAAAAATGTACATTTTGAAATTTTATCTCAAAAAATTTAAACTGAAAGGGCAGCTAAAGATATAATTAAGCCTGTTTTTATGTTAAGAAAAGGATTGACTCCAAATGATACTTCACCTAGAATAGCCTTTGCTGGAGGGATCGTATTCTGGGTTTGATGAAAAGGACATTCAGTATCTAAAATCACTGAAAAAGGGAAAACTCAGAGCAATGACTCGGTCAAAGAGGGATGCTGCTACATTAGAGCACTTTCTAGTCAGCAGCGTGGAAATACAAAGTGAAACTTTCTCATATGGTATCTGACTAAGCTCTGGGCTTAGTCACTAGAGTCAAAGAAACTTTGAGAAAGTCTCTCCATTGTATCTAGTAGAGTAGGGAAGAATACCCAGTGGCCTGGGTTGCTTGAGCTTCAGGGATCCAGACTGAATGATTCCTATAAGCTAAGAAGAGTAGGAGAGCCTGTATAGGAATTTTATTTACTCAGAAGTTTTTTCTTTAAAAGAAAGTTAATCTTATTGGCATAATATATTCTTTCCTCCTTTGTTTTTAAAAACACTTATAACTATGTACTTGTGATAACATTCAACAGAGTCCCATTTCAGAGTGCTTAGTCTAACCACAGCTGAAGTAATTATGTAGGTTGTGATATGTTTTTCTGAAAGACCATGGATAGCTTACACTTATTTCCAAATATGAGTGATATAGTTGAGGTTATTTTAAAAATAAATCTCATGTGCAAGCGGCTTAGTTTTAGTTAGCAACATATTTCAGATATGAACTTCATTGTAGTAATCCAAAATAGAACTACTTGCTGGCAGAGTGACTCAGGTGGTAGAGTGCCTGCCTAGCAAGTATGAGGTCTAGTTCAAACCCCAGTACCACAGAAAGAAAAGAAAAAAAAAAAAAACATACACAAAGCAGAACTGCCAAAGAGAAAAACTGTATAGAGAAGTTAAATTTGAATATTCTCATTTGATACTGTAAGGTGTGAGTTTAGGGGCTTAATTTGTCTATGACCAAAATAGCCATATGTATGTCTAAATAAGAAAAAAACTAAAGAAACAAAACTTTTTGATTTGAAAGCTCAATACATAAAGATTTAAATTTTTATGCTCATTGTAATTCTAATTGAAATTCCAATGAGCTTTTAAGAGAACTTGACAAATTAATTCTAAAGTTATACAGAATAATAAATAAGATAGGCTATAACAATTATTTTTTAATAATAATCCTCCATCACCTATACAGCTACAGTGATTTTAAAAATGTGGTTTTATTGCTGTAATATTAAAAAAGCCAGTGAAAAGAATGAAGAATCCAGATACACCTTATAGATCTCTTGAAGCTTATATAAAAATAGCATCTCATTTTAGTACAGAAAAGATGAATTACTTTTAGAAACTGTTGTTTCATATGGAAAAATAAAGTAGTAAGACTGCCTCTATTATGCTGAAGGGGAATTTAAAGAATTTGCAGTTTTGATGATTATAGAAATTTTGTCCCTTATGTGCTGACTTTAGAAACTAACCAACACAGTATTTGGCCCACTGTATTTTCCTTAGCTGATACTCTAGGCACAAAGAAATTCTGTTTATGGAAACCAAAAAATCCTGACTGTTACTAGCTTGCAGAGAAATTAAAGTGTAGATGAGAGTAGAATCTAAGAGTAAGCAATATGACACATATCAAGGTTTTAGGTAGATCTATTTCTCATCTTAATTACTAGTAAATTTTTTATAGAAGCATTCTTAATCTGGTGAATTGTAGAAAATGTAGGATCATTACTCAGAAAATAGTAAGTGTGGTTTCAGACCAAGCTTAGGACAGTGTTTGAAATTTATCACCATAATTATCTGTGTTATGTTCCTAACACCCTTTTCTATGAACTATACTCCTGCTTCCTCTCTAGGAGCGGCCTGCTTCTGACTCCTGGCAGAAACTCGAGAAGTCTCGCGAGTATAAGAACAGTAACCAGCTCCGGGAGTACCAGCTAGAGGGAATGAATTGGCTTCTTTTTAATTGGTATAACAGGTGAGGTATTGAAAGCAGCCCAGATGTTGATAGTTGGACTTAGAGTTACTTAGCAAAGTGGTGAGAGAACAGCACAGCCTCCAATTTAGGGTCATTCCAAGACTTTACTTTTATGTCAGGTGTTTCTCCAACCAAAAGGAGAGATTATTTTTAGACATCACTTGACTTTGTGCTTCTGGGGGGTGGGCAGTTTAATCAAACTGTTAGGATCAAACCTACATGATAAAAACACAAAAGATCTTAAAAAGTTTATTTTCTAAGTCTTCAGCCCTCCTCCAAACACCCCCAAACCTAAATAAAAAGTATCTAGGGCTAGGAGCTTGGCTAAATGGTAGAGTACCTGCCTAGCAAGTATGAGGTGCTGCATCCAAACCCCAGTATGAGAGAGAGAGAGGAAGAGGGTAAGGAAGAGGGATTGGAGAGGGAGAGGGAGAAGAGAGAGATTCTAGACCTCGCCCTGATACCTGTGAGTCACAGATGTACTAGAATTGTGCTATAACACTCAGTTTTGAATTCTTTGTCTTCTGGTTCCTGTCAGTACTGAGCAAGATGAAACTGGAGAAAGATAGGTTTAGATGTTCTTAACATTTCAGGTTATAATCCATAGTACTGCTGTTTAAGACCACGTGTTATAATGCAGAATACACCTAGATGGGATTCTGGAAAATCGTTTTCTAGTGTAGTTAGTCTCTACCACTTACTCAAAGTGTGACCCAGAGCATAGCTCACCCAGCTGGGTCAGCTCTTGTGTTGCCCATCTGAACAGTGAGAGGATGTAACCCCTTGTAAGGCCAAAGCTCTGGTATGCAGTCTGTGATTCTGGATCTCCAGAAGAGACCAGTGTTTTTACTCTGATGAGGAATTTATTGTGTGAGCTAAAAATTTGTCCTCTGATAACATGCAAATGATAGACAACAGCAATCATGCAATTTACCATGTTTTTATTTTTACCTTGTCTTCTAGGAAGTTTCTCAGTTACAAAAACTGACTGAAGTTTGAGGCATTATTTTTCTCCTTGTCTTAATGTTATTTTACTTTTTAATATTTTTAGTTTATATTTTAATACTCATTTCGTACATATTTTCTCCCACATTGGCATAGTTCCATTTTTGGAAGCAGGTAGGATATGAATAATAATAAAAACAAACCTCAGTTTTATCTCTGGAAAATGATAAATTCTTCACTGATGACCTTACAGATCAAAGTGTTTTAGTTATAACTAACCTTATAGCTTTCTAATATTGGTGATGAATTACCTATATTTCTTACCCTCTGCAGAAAAAATTGTATTTTGGCTGATGAGATGGGCCTAGGGAAAACTATCCAGTCCATCACATTCCTTTCAGAAATATTCCTCAGGGGAATCCATGGCCCTTTCCTCATCATCGCCCCTCTCTCCACTATCACTAACTGGGAGCGGGAATTCCGGACATGGACAGAGATGAATGCCATTGTGTACCACGGCAGCCAGATCAGCAGGCAGATGATCCAGCAGTATGAAATGGTGTACAGAGATGCACAGGTGAGCTTCAGATGAATCACAAAGACCCAGGGACTGCCTAAGCTCAGAATAGCCTTTCTACCACTCACTTCTCTCCAGGAGTTTAGAGCCCTATTTCTTGGGTTACTGTTGACTTACTTGTAGAATCCTCTGTTTGTTGAGCTGACTTCTCGGTCTTCCTTCATAGTTTATTTTAATTTATGAGAAGACACAGAATTGAAGGGCATGCTTTCTCATCCCTCTTGAGATATACCAGAGGTCTTTTTTAGGACACTGAAAGCTTGACTTATTGGTTATATGCAGAAGATTTTATCAGAATTGTTGTGTGCTCAGTAGAGGAAGTGAGAAGAATTAGTGCATAGTGGATAGATACCTAGATAAGGAGTTAGAGAGGAGACGAATACATTGGACAGGAAAAGATTAAAAACAGGTCCATATTGTTAAAAACACAACAGAACTTTTTTTTTTTCTTTAAGTTTTTATTACATATTATTACTGAGTATAGTATGCTTGTCCTGGATCTGAGTTTTTTCTTTTTCTTTTTTTTTTTTTTTTTTTTTTTTGCAGTACTGAGGTTTGAACTCAAGGCCTACACCTTGAGCCACTCCACCAGCCCTTTTTCGTGATGGGTTTTTTTTGCGATAGGTCTTGCAAACTATTTGCCCAGGCTGGCTTTGAACCGCAAGCCTGATATCTGCCTCCTGAGTAGCTAGGATTGCAGGCATGAGCCACCAGCGACTGGCTGGGCACTGATTTTTCTAATTCAGCAAAGTAAAAATTTTCTCCAGTTAAGGGAAAGCCAGTGTGTTCTCTACAGAAGTTTCATAAACAGTGGCGACACTCACAAAAGATTTCAGATGTGCGCTAACATGATGCAGCACTGCACTTGAAATGTAATACTAAAAGACCAGGTATGCCGTGCCTGGCAGCACTTGCCCCAGGCACATCAGGATTATTACTTTGAATATGTGCTAGAACTCAAGTTTCAAGGTAAAAGTATGTAAACTGAAAGGAAGCAGAGTGTTTCCTTGGGCATTCAAACTATGTAGAGTGTAGATAGACTCCTGACTGGGGATGGTATGTGAATCACACCATCTGCTTTCCTAATCATAGTAACTAATAAATGAAAAGCTCTCTTGATGGCCCTTCCACATAGCTCATCCTTCTCACTTCTGTGAGGACACTTGCTTTCTTGCTTGTTTCATTGATGTTCTGTGGTCTCTCTTATCTAAATAGCTGGTTTGTTTTTACATTCCTTCTCTCACATAAGGAAAAGCAGTGCATGTTGGCTTCTCACCTCAGCCTTAGCACTGAATAGTTCTGCCTTCTCTAATCCAGCAGGTAATCCATTAGCAGAATTCAGTAGCCATGCTGTAAAGCTCTGCCTTCGGTTGTGTCATCCTCAGGGAAACCCCCTTTCAGGAATCTTCAAATTCCATGTTGTCATCACAACATTTGAGATGATCCTGGCAGATTGCCCAGAGCTGAAGAAGATTCACTGGAGCTGTGTGATAATCGATGAGGCTCACCGACTGAAGAACAGGAACTGCAAACTTCTGGAGGGGCTAAAGCTCATGGCCCTGGTGAGAGTTAGCCAGCGTTTTACATAACAGGTTCCTTCTGTCCCAGGTGGAGGAAGTGCTCCTTAGCCATTCTGCATGTCAGGAACTTGTGCACAGTCCTCTTTCCATAGACTGATTCCAGAAAGACTCAGGGAACTCTGAAGTGCCACGAAATTTGTGACCTAGAGGTATAAGGTGCTTTGGATTGTTATCTATGTCCCCGAATGAACTGGTACCAAAGATGCTGGCCTTTTTAACATTCTTTCTTGGAACAGTGCCCAGTAGGTGGTGGGTAGGCATTTAGTGATTGTGAGTGAATTAAGAATGGTTGTTTTAGTTAACATGAAATTGCTGCTAGACTCACCTATGTGAAAGGAATGCTGATATGTTAATGTCTATACCCCTATGGAAATGTTAGCACCCTATCTTTTCATTAAGAGTAGAATAGAATTACCCCAAATTGAGCACAGAATGCCCTGGCTTAACTTTCCTCCAGTAAAATGTACTGTATTAGTAGGGGATAAAAATCTACAAATGCTGTTCATCACATGCTTTTAATATATGCAGGAACATAAAGTGCTGCTCACTGGAACACCCTTGCAGAACTCTGTGGAAGAGCTTTTCAGTTTGCTGAATTTTCTGGAGCCATCACAGTTTCCTTCAGAGACTGCTTTCTTGGAGGAGTTTGGAGATCTGAAAACAGAGGAACAGGTAATTAGAGGTCTGAAGGATTGAGGGGTCATGTTGGTTAACTTCATGTGAAGGAAAGAGCAAGTGATTATGGTGACAGGATTTAGCAGGTTCCCACAGGTCTGGTAAAATGACATTTGCCTCCTTTATTTTGTGTATTTTGTTTATGTTGGAGAGGACCAAATGATTTAATAATTCTTACTGCTAAAAAGGATAGGTGAGTCAGCATCCAAAATGTCTTATGTTAGCACATCAGGCCTCCTGCTTTACTGAATGCCCTCATATATTCAGTGATTTTCCTTATAGTTCTGGCCTTAGGAGCATGGTGCTTTCTTCTGCTTCCCTCATCCTTTATCTTTCCTCCTACATAATCAGCATCATGTTCCCAGGCCCATCTTCTTGATTACAACACAATACACAGGTAGTGAGGAAAAGAAGGCAGCCATGTAGTTGATAAGTTTACTTTTGTCTAGATCAAATGTTTTTCCTCATTTTTTGAAGGGCTTGTCCCAAGTCTGGTTTGTTAGCTTTAAAACAAATTCAAAACAATCAATATTAATAAATATCTACTGTGAGCAAAAATCTCTACTAAAGATTATAGAAAAAAGACAGACAGGTTTAAATGCCATGAAGGGAATAAGTAACAGAATTGGGACTTTAAAGGAGAGAAAGGTCATATTTATTTGAAAATCAGAAAGACTTCAGAGAGAAGGTACAATTTACAAATGTATTTTGAGCCAAGTGCAATGAATCATATCTGTAATCCCAGCCACTCAGGAGGTGGTGATCAGGAGGATCATGGTCTGAGACCAGCCAGGGCAAAAAGTTCCCAAGACCCTGCTCTGTATTGGTGGCTCACACTCATACCCTAGTTACTCAGGAGACTGAAATCTGAAATCTGGTGGTTCAAGGCTCAGTGGTGCATACCTGTCATCCCAAGCTATGAAATAGTCTGAATCTGGGAAGATTGTGGTTCCAGGCTACCCTGGGCAAAAAATTTGTGAGACGCATCTCAACAGAAAAGGCCTGGGCATGGTGTTATGTGCATGTCATCCAGCTACCATGGGAAGCATAAACAGGAGCATCTTGGTCCATGCCAGCCCAGGCAAAAGGTAAAACCCTGTCTCAAAATAACCAGAGCAAAAAGGGCTGGAGGCATTGCTTAAGCAATAGAGCACTTGCTTGCAAGTACAAAGCCCTGAGTTTAAACCCTAGTATCACAAAAAAAAAAAATCCAAAAGAATGCTTTTTGAGGGATAGGCAAGTTTTCAACAGGTAGAGAGAGAGGTGAGGTAGTACCTGCTTTCATAGAAAAAATCTCAGCACAATCACAGTCATGGAATTTATTCAGTAGTAAGGAATCATCTGATTGAAGTGAAAACAGGGAGAATAAAAGGGATTTGCCATTATATTGTGGGAAGATCTTGAAAGGAAGGTTGAAGAATTGGTAGGAAATACAGATGCCATGCAAGGCTTTTATTGCAGGAATGACATAATTGCTTCTGCTAAATTAATCTAGCAATAGTGTAAAAGTGGGTTGGGGTAGAAAATTTGGGAAATGTTTGGGAATTTCACTAACAGATGTCAAGGATACACTCTGTGGTTCCATTCTGTTTCTTTCTACTTGTGATACAAGTCAAACTTTGAAATCAGTGAATAATCAAGTGTAATTTCCCTCCTCTGCATTTGCAATATCTGCTGGTCCTTCAAAAGCCAGCTCCAATCCTCTCTCCATTTTTGGATCATTAGAAATGCATCCTCTTCTCCCATTGCACTTAATTTGTGGTATGCATTTTTTCTTCTTCCTAGACAATGATCTCCTTGAGGACAAGGCCCACATCTTCTCCAAAGTTGTGTTTGTTGTATTGACCAGCACAGTGTCTGGCATATAGTATACTCTAAATGATTCAAGGTATGAACCAAGTGAAGGGCAAAAGCTGAACCCAGCATGTGGTAGATTGACATTTGTCCCTATCTTTAACAATTAGTTAGCTGTGTGTTTTCTCTTGGGGCTCTTACATAGAATTCTTCGCCATTTGGGGAATTCGATTCCTAAGTGCCCTTGGTTGGTAAAATCAAGGTCTCAGATAAAAGTTAGGTTTAAAATTTGGGATTAGTTTTTAAAAAGCCATAAAAATTGCATCAAGTGTCTGTTTTATTTTTACTTTAAAAATATCTTTAATTGACAAAAATTGTATGTACTTAAATTGTGTATAACATGTTTTGAAATACGTTAATATATGTATTACTTCACCTACTCATTTTTTGTGGTGAGAACACTCAAAGTCCACTCTCATAGCAATCTTCAGGAATACAGTACATTGTTATTACCTATAGTCATCATGCTATACAGTAGATCTCTTGAACTTATTCCTTCTATCTAACTAAAATTTTGTATTGTTTGAGCAGTCTCCCCAAACCCCACACCCTTAACCAGTCTCTGGTGGCCACCATTCTACCCTTTACTTCTATGAAATGTCTGTATTTTAAAACACAATAAATAAAAGCTCTAGAAAGCATCTGTTTCCAAAGTAAAGCATATTTGTTACTGTCTGAAACATGTTCCAGTAAGTGATCTCCTAAATCACTCTCTGTAAATTGTGTTACATTTCTTCAGGAAGCATTGCTATAGCAGATTCAACCCCCTTTTTAAAATTTTTGAACAGCCCTTTCTGACTTGAAACTTGATTTCCTTTGCACTTTCATTTTTCTGTATTTTATTTTCCCATCAGGGTTAATCTTACTGGTATCTCATTTTAGCTCTGTTTACTGAGGTGCTTTGACTTTGAATCCCTTATCATTTGAATCCCTTGTCATTGTCTTCCTGAGAGGGAACAAGTTACCCCGCTGATGCAATCAAGTGAATGGAGATCTCTGTCCAGGCCTGGGCTGTTAGGCAAAGTACAGAAGATCAGAGCAAAGAACACTAGTAGACTTGAAGTGTTCCTGATGTGTTAAGCTCCCACAATGGAATGCGAGATGTCACTATAAACATTAATTCTTCACACACTGCTGCTCCCAACACGTATGCTGATGATGATATTTAAAAGGCATAGGAGGGCTCCATTTCCAGATTGCCTGTACTTCCTACTCCGTTCTTTCAGCATCTAAGTCTTCCCTTTGTAATATTTCATTTGTACCTCCTAACAAGACTTAAAAATATTCTTCACTTAGTTCCTATGCATGTGTGTGTGTTAGAGAAAGAGCAAGAGGTTTGTTTTCTCCATCCTAGAGAATAGGTACTATCTTCTGTGGTTCTCCCTTATTTATCTTGTTGTGAGATTGCCATGAAGGTTCTTGATAATTTAATTGTCCATTAAAACCAGATCCCTTTTTTCCTTCCAGTACTGTCATAAGCTCTCCACTTTCAGGAATCAATCCATGATCTTTTAGTTTATTACCACAGTGCTATGATTAGACATTCAGGAGATTATAGTGAAGATTGGAATACCCCATTAATGGTTCAGTCAGAATTGGTGCAGGTAAATAGGTATCATTTCCCTGAACAGGTAAAGAAACTGCAGTCTATCCTAAAACCAATGATGCTTCGGCGACTGAAAGATGATGTGGAAAAGAACCTTGCTCCCAAACAAGAGACCATCATTGAAGTAGAACTGACCAATATTCAGAAAAAGTACTACCGTGCCATCCTAGAGAAAAACTTTTCCTTCCTAACGAAGGGGGCAAATCAGCATAACATGCCCAATCTCATCAACACCATGATGGAGCTAAGAAAATGCTGTAACCATCCCTACCTGATCAATGGTGAGTTGGGGCAGTGAGAAGTAATTCTCGAGCTGCATGGGACTCTGCCAAAAGCCAGTGATAATCAGAGTTCTTATATACTGTGTTCTCATCATATGCTAGAACATACATACTTTCACCTTTTTACATAGTATAGAACTGGGGTTCAGAGAAGTTGATGGACTTATCTAAGTAATCTAGCTAATAAGTATACAGAACCAAGTTTGGAACTTACTTCTACCAATCCCTGCTCCTACAGTTCTTCTGCAGGCCTTCTGCCTGAAAGAAAATGGGCATCATTCAGCAGTTTGCTTCCCTAATTTATTCACACTCTAGCTCATACTTTCCACTTGGGGAAAGGGAAATGTATTACTTCTTTGAATGAATGATAATGCTGCAGTGAGATTAAAACTCTGTAGCTGGTTGGACTCGGTGGCTCATGTCTTTAACCGTAGCTGCTCAGGAAGTGGAAATCAGGAAAATTGCAATTCAAGGCCAGCCAAAATGTACAGTTAGCTAGACTGTGTCATAACCAATAAAAACCAAGGCACAGTGGCATGTGCCTGTCATCCCAGCTACATGGAAAGCATGAATAGAAAGGTTGAGGGTCCAGGTCTGCCCAGGAATAAAAGCAAGACCATATTTGAAAAATAACTAAAGCAAAAAAGGGCTGGGGCATGCCTCAAGTGGCCCTGAGTTCAAACCCCAGAACTGCCAGAAGAAGAAAGTCTCTGTAGATAAATTAACCATATCTATTAGAGAAGATTTGGGAGGTTTTCTTAGAATGAATCTTTTTGAGAAATTTCTTAAAGTGAAGTCTGACTTGGATTCTCATAGCTAGTCTATGATAATATTTATTTATTTACTTACTTACTTACTTACATTACTGGGGATTGAACACAGGGCCTTCATAGCAAGTCTAGTGATGACAAAAAGTATAAAGGTCTTTTTTACCAACTTTCTGGAAAGATTTCCTTACCTGAATAAGTTGGCTTAGGGCATACATTTCAGTCTTCTCAGTTTTCTGGTGAGAATTCTCAGGAAAGCAAAGCACTCGATTTCTCTACAAGATGACTCTCCTGCAACAGCAAGCTAACTGTCAAGAGTACTGACCAGGAATACACACCCAGCATCTCCTCACTGGACTGCTGGTCAAGGACCTAAGAATTCACTTCATTTTTCCCAGGATCTGTAAAACAGAGAGCAGCTTTCACCCTTACACTTTGTTCAAAGAATCATTTTTGTTCCGTTGCTTTACAGGGGCAGAGGAAAAAATTCTGGAAGATTTCCGAAAAACCCACAGCCCTGATGCCTCTGAGTTTCAGCTGCAGGCCATGATCCAGGCAGCAGGGAAGCTGGTGCTGATTGATAAACTGCTCCCTAAGCTGATTGCAGGTGGCCACAAAGTGCTCATCTTCTCCCAGATGGTGCGTTGCCTCGACATCCTGGAAGACTATCTCATCCAGAGGAGGTGAGGTTTTCATCAAAATATTGATCCAACACTAGGCAGCTCCTTTCTTTTGGTATCTTTTTTGATCCATTCAAATATTTAACAACAAAACCTGGGAAAAAGGAATCTCCTCTTAAAGACTAAAATTCGGAGTTAATCTATGACCAGGTAGACTCAGTTTTAACTTTCTAGAGTAATCATAGCTTATAACGTAGAATCCTTTGCTTAAGGATTTTTGTTTCTGTGTTAATTTATATTCACTTTAGTTGGAAGAAACAAAATTGAAATAGCATCACAACATCAAGTTTCTGAATACATAAGCTGACAACTCACAGAGAAAGACTTACATCCTTTCTCAGCAAGCCCTCTAAGGTTTTTTTTACATACTGGCTATGACATCGCAATTTGTTTTTTTTGTTCATAGTCCTATAATTCCTTGAACCTGACTTCTGTTACTCATACAAATGAAAGGCCTATGGTGTGACATGGATTATTGAATTCTATTGGTAAACTACATTTGTTACATCATATATTTACCTTAGGCTTTCAGTTGCTGTGACATACCAGTAATCTGAAGGTGGCAATGAAGTTTTAAAATTTTTCAGTTTTAATAATAAAAGACTTTTCAAGACCATAGAAACTAGCATAAGCATTACTAACTAAAGAAAAGCCTTGGGGGAAAAAAAAAAAGGACAGCTTTTTTCAAGTAGTAAAGTCTTAGATTTTCAGGTGTCTTAGCAGATGTTCATATCCTTTAAGATTGTGTGCCCTTATAGATTACATGAACTTTTTAGAGAGACTGTTAAATGAGAAATTACTACAGGTTTGCTGACATTTAATGTTACATAATAATTCTTCAAGGTCAAATTAGATAATAAAACAATTTCTCAGAGGAATGGAGGTGTGGCTCAAGTGGTGCAGTACCTACTAGTAAGCGCAAAGCCCTGAATTCAAACCCCAGTACCACCACCAAAAAAAAAAAATTTCTCAGCAGTCCATAGGTTTATATGTAAACAATCAATTGAGACATGTGCTGTTCTTTTTCTTGGGGAAAGCTACTATGAATAAGTTAAAACTTGCAGACCAGTTTTATAGTTTATAAATTTACTAGAGATTAGGAACTCATTGCCAAAGTAAGTAACTTAATCTTAAATCTGTATAGCTGTTAGTTTTCAGGGGCTTTTTTCTTTACAAACCACCCCCAAAATGAGTAACAGTATAACTAAGACTTTGATAAGTACAGAAGTCTTTATTTAGCTCCCTTTTATCATTTATTGCAGTTTGTGTTCAAATTAAGTATTATGGTTTCTCTTGAAAATGTAGAATGTGTAACATTTCCTGTGCCAAAAGTCCCTATTCATGCTCCAGAATTTACCTTTTTAGTCTTTTTTCTATTGTGCATATGTATGTTTACTTTTGTTTATTTATTCAAATTGCTATGTTCTACATTCTCACGTTTTTACTTAATGTATTATTAATTTTTCTTTTTTCTAAACCAAAATTTTGATGTTCTACATGATAGTCTTGTATGTTGGCTCCCAGTTTTTCATCATTCTAAGAAATTCTGTGATGACTGTCCCTTTATAGTTACTGTGATTATTTCTGGATACATGTCTACAAAATGTTCTCTAGTAAAAATACTTTCAGCTCTCTATGAGAATGCTTTTTTTGTCCATATTCTGATCAATACTCTTTTTTGTCCCTTAATCTTTGCTAATTTAATAAGCCAAATTTGTGGTCTCCAACTTTAATTGGTATTTCTGATCAAAACTGAGGGTAGATTTTTTTTCATATTTATTAGCTGTTTTTATTTCTCTTTTGTGGCTTATTTATGTTCTTTTTATAAATTTATGGAAATTATTTACTTAATATGTTGCAAACACTTTCCCTAGTGTTTTTGTTTTGTTTGCCTTTAATTTTGTTTATGGGTATAGTGTTCTATTTAGTTTTAGAAATTCTAAAATTAATAATAGATCTTTGTCATAAAAGCTTTAAGTCTAATTCCTTATAACTGCTTAATTTAATATGCTCTAAAAACTTCATCTCAGCCAGGTAACATGGCTCACCCCTGTAATCCAGATACTCAGGAGGCAGAGATTGGGAGGATCATGGTTTAAGGTCAACCCAAGCCAAAAATTAGCAGGAATCCCCCACCCCACCCCCCGCCAATGTCAAGAAACAATCCAGGCATGGTAGTACACGTTTGTAATCCTAGCTACATGGGAGGGCTAAATAAAAGGATCATGGTTGAAGCTGGCCCTGGGCAAAAATAGCAATTTGAAAAATAGCTAAAGGGGCTGTAGGCATCGCTCAAGTGGTAAGAGTTCCTGCCTAGCAAGTGCAGGACCATGAAATTCCATCTCAACCATGAGATCATATAAATACTGTAAAGTATTTTCATTCTTTCATGGTTTCTTCATTCCATCTGTATCTAACAGGGTTCTTCTGGCCTTCCTATTATCATTACTTTTTTCTCTTTAATTTAGTTTTTTGTTTTCATCAAAGTTATACATGTACATAATTTAAATTGCCATATAATACTTTTAGACTTTGGGTGCATTTTCTGTTTTACTCTATCCTTCCTTTAGTGTTCCACACCACAGAAACAATTAATTTCAAGTCTTTATGCTATTTCTTTGGTAGTTATAATTCTATCTAAATGATGTCATTAGTTTCAGTTTCTTGATATTCTTCTGGTTTACGAATTACCTGTTCTCGCTGTGGAGGATGACTATTGAGGCTTCCTTGCCCCTCATAACCACCATGTATGCAACTTCTCATCTCTAGTCTTCTCAGTTGGGAATATTTTGGGATAGGTAAACAACCTGGGTTAGATTCATATTCTGGGTTTATTATGACTTATGTTAAATTAGAGCTCAACCATATAATATGTTTACTTTTTTCTTTCTTAAGCAGTTTTTTCTAAAGCTAAAAATTATCTTTTTATTCGATTGCTTATTTTTCTATATAGTTATAATTTAGAAGCAAATTGTACCCCAGTCATGTAAATCTCCTATAGTTATGTTCATACCACACCAGCCTCACTGGGGCCACATCCCCTGGGACCTCCCAGCCTGCTTCTCTCTGGCCTGTTGCTCTTCCCATCCAGCACACCGAGATCATATCATCTGCCTTCTTGCATTCTGCTGATGCATTCTTTTCCTTCCTTCTTGACTCAGATCTCTGATGGATTCCATGTTAGATCACCTTTCCTAAATCTCTCTTCTCTCCCTCTCCTTCTCCTTCTCCCTCTCCTTCTCCTTCTTCTTCCTCTCCTTCCCTCCCTCCCGCCCTCTCATTTTCCAGCTGGCTATTGTTGGGAAACAAGACAATTTTTTATTTCCCTTCAGGACTTTTTAGGTTAACATTTCTTGTGCCAAAAACATGTCATTCCCCTCTCCCATTCCCAGCTAGTCCCTCAGAGGTTTTTCCAGAGTGCCACCTGCTTCTTGATGGGATTTAACAGTGACTCAGAATTAGTTTGATGAACCACATGAACTCCTAGGAATCTCATTGAAAAATACATTTGTCATGGAGGGTTAATTGCTATGCTGTAGTTCAATGTGGAAAATGTTATGGTGTCTGATTTCTTCATTCAAACTTATCAGCCCTTAAGGTTTTCTTTGTTCTTGAGCCTCTTTGCCTCTCCAGCTGTCGGTTTGGTTTTGTTCCTACTTAATTTCATGCCAGACTCTCATACAGGAATGGGGGCACAGCCAGAAGATCTCACTCAGGAGAGAGTGAGGGATGATTTAAAAGAACTCAAATAATTCCATTTTTAGTTTTGAGAGAACTACCTTAAAATTACACACATGACAGAAATGAGAATTATTATTCCAACTATCCCCCACTGCTGCTAGATCATAGTTGGCAAAACACTTATCTAATTTTGTGGGATTTCCTTCCTGTACATGATAGCTGAGCTACATCATCACTATTTATCGATTTCTTCTTTTCCAAATGCTGTGCTGATTCTCAGCCTCACTCTGATCTGTTGGACCTCTGGCTCTTCTAATGCTCAGGGTTGTCTTGTCAAAGAGCACCAGGTCCTTTGATCATTCACACGTGGAGAGGTGGAGGTGATGGCCATTGTTTAATTGAATCTCATATTCTGTCTTCTCACACTCCAAATCCTGTGCAGCTTCTGCTATATCGCGTCACTAAACTTCCGTGGATAAACCATCATAGATCATTGAAGCATTGATACATCAAAACCATTTTGCTATCAGTATGGTTTCTGCTTCTATCTTCCATTAGAGTTATAAATTTCCACAACTTTACTAGTGTCCCTTGTTGGTTTTTAATTTCTCTAAGTTTTAAAGTAAAGGCCATCAAGCAAATGGAGCTTGCTTCAGCTCAGTTACCAGCTGAGTGACTGGGCAAGATGCTCTTGGTTTTGTATGGTTTTTTAGTTTCTTCAAGTGTGAAATGAGGATGATAACAGAAACTACTTCATAGGATTATGGTGCAAATTAAATGTGATGGTGCATACCAAGCATGTACCACAGTACCTGGCCCAGAGCAGACACTTAGAACTTGCTATATTTTTTTGTTGTTTTGTTTTGTGGTACTGCAGCTTGAACTCAGGACCTCCTGCTTATTAGGCAGGCACTCTACCACTTGAGCTACTTCTGCCCATCCCAGCTATATTGTTGTGGTTGCTACAAACAATATAAAATACAGACATCTGACCCTTAGTTGTCTTCATCTATGACACAAAATGTTTTTGGTATGCCTTCAACACAATCCAATCACTGCCACCTATTCATTTCTACTATGGTTTCCATGTAATATTATTCTTGAGTGTATTCTAACTTAAAAAAGAGGAAACAACAAAAATATCCATACTTAAGATATGGTTGCATTGTGGCTTTGTAAAAGGAAGGCAATATTTGCACTTATTTCTTTATATTTGTCCTTTGTAAGTCTGAGTTGGTCAGGTATGTATATTTCCTTGCTGTCCATAGCTTTCTTTAAATGGCTTTTCCTTTTCTTCAAGGAAGTCAGAGTTACAATGCCAAATTTAGTTTTCTAAGGCCATTTCTACATCTACCCCTGGATGTCTATCTTTATAGTCTTACCAATTACTTAATCTAAGTTTTAGAATCCTGATTTCCCAAATTCTGGGCTACAGAAAAGTTGGTTCCCAAGATTCATGGTCTTGGTCCTTTTCTTACAAGTTCTTTTTTACTTCTACTGACTAGCTAGTTTTTGCCTGTTCATCAGATTTGGGCCCCTTTGTTAATTGATTTATTGTCAAAGAGGCAAATAAGAAAAAAATAGAAAAAGTAAGATAGGAAAGAATAAGATCGCTGCTGTGTCTTACTTCTATGTTAATTTCATGGTCTCCACAATAAAGGTTTCTTCTGTGTGTTTTCTCTGAATAGAGAGTAGTGTCATGACCTCAGAACAGCTTCATCTCCTAGTCTCTTTCCTCTTACCCGTACCCCGCACTGAACTGTCCACCTTGCTTCTTACCTATCCAAGTAGGTATACATGCCATCTTCATAATATTCCACTTTGCTTCTTTACTTTATTGTCCTCTTAGTAATTTAGTCTCCTTACCTCCATATACTGTAGAAACCTTTCCTCTGATTTATTCCTACTTTCTTGGCAATATAAAGCCCACATTTAGCTTTAAACTTAGAGATTTCGCCATGTGCCTCTGAAGAACTAGGCTAGAAATGACCAACCCATAACTAACAGTACTGTCTTCTTACCACTTGCAGTAACCCTGAGCAGCAGGAAACTGATGTGAACTCTTGAGTCCAAGTTATGAGCTCTGCTGAAAGTCAATAGTTAAGGCTTATATTTGCATTTCTGGTCTTACGATTGCATTCACTGCAAATAAAACTGGGAAATTCTTGATAATAAGTTGCTTAGGAAACTTATTGGGTATCAGTATTTTGTGTTTGTAATTCTTCTAGTCCTTTTTAGTTTGCAGCTGGTTTTTTGTTATGTTCTTCTTTTTGTTTGTTTGTTGGGAGGGGAGCATTCTAAAATGTAGTTTTAAGTCTCTGTCCTACTTCTTAATGTATGGGGCAGGATTCCTTCTAGACTGCTGTCATTTAGTCCAAATTTAGTGATAGGTTTAAGGCCATTGAGCAACAGCTTCCTGCATTGTTTGCTGTTCTCCACTGAAGTCATGATTAACAGCTGGGCTTTCGTTCATTTGGGTCCCCTCAGATACACCTATGAGCGAATTGATGGGCGAGTACGGGGAAACCTGCGCCAGGCAGCCATCGACCGGTTCTGTAAGCCAGACTCAGACCGCTTTGTCTTTCTTCTGTGCACCAGAGCAGGAGGCCTGGGGATCAATCTCACAGCTGCTGATACCTGCATCATATTTGATTCTGACTGGAACCCACAAAATGACTTGCAGGTAACCATTAGGATGATTGCTCTTTACCTTAGCTACCCTGAATCCCAGAGTATCAGACAGGGTTTGGCTTGACTATAGATTATCTGCTGTTGTGTTCATGCTTTGGTGTCAGCTTAGGTCCTTGGTTAGGGGATGAAATCAAATGGGAAGTAGTTGTTAATCTTTCCCACTAATCAGAGAGTGCTTTTGTCTTTCTGCTTTAAATCAAATGATGTATCACAGTGGTAGCATCCAAATCCAGAAATTACTATTATTTTTATCAAACATAAAGATCTCTGACATTTTTCCTTAGTTTGTTTGATAGATGGTCATGTCTCATACAGTAAATGAGTTAACCCAAACAGATGGAAAGTTTCTTGGTGTAGAGGGATGATGGAGGCACCAGTTTATTTGCTCTCCACTTAATGCAGTTTATATGTGCCCAGTTAAGTGCAGGTTTTATTTTCTTATTTTAACAAAACTAAATAATGGGTGGCTTTAAAATGTTAGTGCAAAAATGGATTATAAAAAGTAAGCATAAACAAACAATCCAGGCTTTCCTGGATTGGAGTTCTTCATCAACTGTGTTTCAAAGCAAACACAATGGCATTCTAACCAGATTGGGCAATGAGTCAGCCAAAAAAGAATCTTAACTTGTCAAGAAGACTATTTAGAATATAGATTTACATCCAGACACATGCATATTATATTTTGTGATATATACTAATTCTGATTGTGGGTATGCAGTGGGGAGGGTGAGTGGGTGGCTCAAAATCTTTTCAGTGGAATAGGTGATTGATGGAAAGAAGTTTAGAGATTGCTGCTTCATATAGCTCAAGTGGTACGTAGGGGTTGCTACAAAGGAAGGGATGCAGGGAAGACTGCATTGAGTTGATGGATAGGGCTTCTTCCTTACCCACTCACTTCCACAGCATCATTCTACTTTGTCTTTTCTTAGTAAGCTTCTGTTTGAAGAAAATAGTTTTATTTTTTGAAAGCCAGTGCTTTAAATTATTCAATTTGTGACAGTTGGCTAAAATGAGGAAAAATACCATGATGGAGCATCATAAGCAAATTGTGTGGCCCTACATTCAACATCCAGCTTCAGAGAAAACCTGTAATTATAAATAGCTAACCATCAATTCTTTCTTCTGGTGAAGGGAGGTTTTAATCAGTGATGAGTTGCTAAATATAATGAACAGCCAATTTTTAAAGGGGAACATATACTCAGCACTAAAATAATAATAAACTCTTAATATTTAATCAGCTTACTATCAAGAGCCTAATTACTATACTGATAAAGAGTAGAGATGGGAAAGTATTGCCTTCTTGCCTATCACCTGTTTTTTAAATAGCTTTATCTGAATATAGTCATAACCATTCCTGTGTATATTATCTATGGTCAATTTCATGTACAGTGGTAAAACTGAATAGTACCAAAAGAGACCTCATAGGCCACAAAACCTGAAATACTATTGGACCCTTTGAAGATGTTCACCAACTCCAAACAGATGATTGATTAAATCCTTGATGGCAATAAAATTCTGTATTCTTTTGTTTACCTAACTGTGAAGTGTAGTACTTAGGAGAATGAGGATACAAGAAACTAAAGTTGAATGGCTAGTTTGAAGCTATCTGGTTGGACAAGCATGAAGAGATATCCAGGAGAGAAACTGAAGGCATATGGCCAGAGGCAAAGATTTTGGAAATACCATGCTTCTCCTAGGTGAGGTGTAAATATTACTACTTGAACAGGAACAATGCCAAGAAATTGAAAAGGCAAGAATGCTCAAATCTGATGGAGAATGAAAGTCCTTTCTACAATTAATGTACACTAATTAAAAAAAAACACAGAAAAATATTTCTAAAGCATTAGCATTCCTGTATATATTCAGTATAAAAATTCATAATGAAATATTTTACATTTTTCTAAAAAAAAAAGAAAGAAAACCTGATGGAGAAGGTGAAGTCAATCTGAGGTGATCTGCAGTATGTAGCAACCAGAGGAAATCGGTGGGGCTGTTCAGAATTAGGATCTAGGGAGAAGGGAGAAACTTTGAAATGGCTGTTTTTAATATGCACTGCTGGGGAACTGGCAAGAGATTAATAAGGAGTATTAGTGAAATCCAAACTGAAATTGGATAGTGTGAATTTTTTTTCTAGCGTGCTGAGTCAGTTTCCGAATTTCCTGTAGTGCTCACCTTGGATGAAGACACAAAAACGACCAGCACCACAGATGATCCCGGGTGGCAGCTTGTAACCCAGAGCACAGCAAAAGCTTAATGAATGAGGGAATCGATGATACTGGCAGCCCAGGTCAGAATTAGAGTTAGAAATTTTCAACTCTTGGTCTTCCAGACTAGCCTGTCTATTACTGATTCACTGGTTTCTGTTTTTCAGTTGATACGAAGGTTTCATAATTCAGAAGGAAATACAGTTTTTGTTCTTTTTTTGTTGTTGTTTTTAATGTCTGACCAGACTGGTTACAAATAAAAGTAGAAAGTGTAGAATAATTTGAAGACAGGAAATTGGATCAGTAGTTATTAAGAGAGTGGGATTGGTGGGCTATAGTGAAGATATGATAGGTAGAAGAAGGTCCAAATTCTGGGTCTTCCACAGAGATGAAGCAAGTTTCTTGCTTACTTGATATGATAAGGAAGAGGAGATGGCTAGAGACTGCTCACAGAATTACGTGCATTCAACATGCACACACACTTCTGCTTCCAGTGCCACTTCCCCTTGGACTCAAGTGCTATAAATCCAAAGCAGAGAGAATGTCTGGAGACTCAGACCCTGAGACCATCCTATCTATGATTCCCAGGACTTCTGCTAAATCAACTGTGAAGACCAGTGAAAGGAGATCAGGAAAGAAAACTAGACCTTTTTCTTAGAACTATTTTTTCCCCTTAGTTAGATAATGATAACCACACACAGTTATTTATACACATTCATAATTCTAACATTTTTAGTGAATAAGTGAAAGCTTTTAATCATCTGCAGCTCTTTAAGATTATTGCCTTTGGAAGACGAGTTTAGTCACAAAATATTTGGGAATGGGTTGAGGCACATACGGCCTGACATAAATTCCAAAGCTGCAGAAAAAAGAATTCCATTGTGAACAGGGTCTTACCTCTGTCCTGGGAGAATTTTAGAGCAACTCCAAAGATCTCAGTGCAGGTGATAAAAAAATAAAATGTGAGCTCTCACGCTCTACTCAAACAGATTGGCAAGAGCTGGGACAATCCATGGTTCCTCCTAGTGAGGACACACAGGGAAGCATGTCATTGCAAGGACAACTCATGTTTCCTGACTGATCCCAGATAGACTCCTACAGAATCCTGAAAGTAAAACCAGCCTGATTGTGAGAATGCTGGGCTCAACCAAAATGAGCCTGAGTCTCCATGTTCTTAAGCTTTTTGTTACAATAACAAAATACCTAAGATAATCATATTTGGGGGAAAAAAAAAAAAAAGAGGAAAGGTTTATTTTGACTCACAGTTTCAGAGGTTGCAATCCATGATCAAGTGGCCCTGTTGCCTTTGGACTTGTGGCAAGACAGCATATCATGGTGGGGAGTACGTGGTGGAACAGTGGCCAGGAAGCAAAGAGAAATAGGAAGGTGGCAGGGTCCTAATATCCCCTTCAAGGATATGCCCTGCAAACGCCTAATTTCCTCCCACTAGGCCCCCACCTCTAAAAGATTCCACTATCTTTAACATATGGGCCTTTAGGGGAATATTCCAGATTGAAATTATAGCAGTCCCTGAGGCAGGTCTACAGACACACCAACTTGCTTGCTATTCTCTGGAAAATCAGATGAGAGTCAGAAAACAGCCTTAGGTTTCCGTGATCATTTTTATTATTTTAACAAAAGTCTGTCTTCTCTTTTGATCATTTTTCTGGGGTTTTCTAGTTTTTGTAGGTAGAATTAAAAGTTTCAGACTTGATAGATAGATACACATATGGTATTTTTTGGTTGTTTGGGATTTTGAGACAGGGTCTTACTGGTAGTTCAGAGTGGTCTAGAACTTGCTATGTAGCCCAGGCTGGCCTGGAACTTGAGATCCTCCTTCCTTGCCCTTCTGAGTGCTGGGATTATAGGTACCAGTAGGTCCAGTTAGAGATTTTTTTTTCCCCTTTGACAGTAGTGGGGTTTGAACTCAGGACTTCACACTTGCAAGGCAGGTGCTCTGCCCCTTGTGCCACTCCTCAGCACTAGAGATATTTTTTAATGAAAGTCTTCATTGTATATATTGTCAGTGTAGTATCACTATCCCCTTCCCAAATTCTCCCCTTTCCAGAAAAGTGCAGGCACAAGTTCATTAAGACCAAGAATAACAGCTGGGCATTACTTAGGAATAACAAAGATTCAGGTTAGTACCAAAGATCTTGACAATATTATCATTTTATTATGCTGTAGAGGGAAATTGATATTTAGTTCACCATAATAAGATCTTATCTAGAGATATCAGATAAATGGCCACAACCTCTCTCAAACCTTGAGTATGTCAGTATTAACATCACAGTATGTAGAATATTCAAGGATGTAAATTTCCCTTTTCCCACACCATTTGAAAGACACAAATTGTGGTTCCTTCCAATACTTCAGTAGCAGCAAGCATTGTCTAGATTTTTTTTTAAACACCTGAGCTTAGCAAATGACAAAGGGTGGTGACAACACCCTGAGAAGGAAAAAGAGAAATGAAAAATTAATTTCTACTTCTTATGAGGAAGCCAATCTTGCTGCTATCCCTGAAGGCAGAGACTTGACCTCTTGGTAGCAGCAGGGTATCATGCCCAACCTCATAGAAACCACAGCTTCTTCCTCTTTCTTTGCTCCATAATGCCTCTGTTTCTTCTTCCCTGGTGGGCTTTTTGCACCTTGAGGCAAGAATTCCTTAGGGTTGAATAGGGTTCAAAACAACAGTGGTAGGACCACACAGTTATGACCTTCCTGTCAGTAAGGTCCCTGATGGCAGAATTGATAAAGTGTGGGAGCTGATGTCCTAGCCAAGAGCATA